AATCTTGATTGGGCGTGGTAGTGCATACCTGTAGTTCCACCTACTTGGAAGCTGAGGAGGAAGGATCACCTGAGCCCAGCAGGGTGAAGCCGTGGTGGCTGTGAGCATGACACTGCCTGGGTGACAAGATGAGACTCTGACTCATCTAACCAGATTCCAATGAATCTGGTGACCCTGAGCCACTAAATTTTGCTGAACCTCCTTTCCCAGTAGAAGTAGCTTTCCACTCTTAACCGGAGAAATTAGTCTCCTCTTACTTGAAGGACCTATAGTGGCCTTCTCCAGTGTGGTGGCCCTTAGGATCTGCCTCCACCACACCACCTCTCATTGTTTGTAGACTGAAGTCCAAACGGGCTCCAGAATGAAGTATACAGCCTGACCCAATACAAGGTATAATACACACCAAAACAATTGCATGATGCCAATCTGTGTAGACAGAAACCTGAGGAAATATATGGACATGGATTCCAAAGGTGTGATATCAGGATAGAAGAAATATAAAGTCGTATGAGGCTGTATTTATTTATAAGGGCTCACTATGCAGAGATTCCTGATTCAATGTGTTATGTCCTAGCTTGAGTGACTCTAATAGATTGTTTAGTTGGTTGATTGAAATCTAGACGTTGAAATGCCAAAATTTCTTAGTTATGCCGGTATCCAATGACTAAGAAAGACTGGCATGCTAGGGTAGACTTACCATATAAGATCTGTTTATCTGGCCCCCCCCCCTTTGAGTTGGAGTCTCACTCCGTCACCCAGGCTGGAGTGCAGTGGCATGCTCACCGCCACCCAAGGGTCGACCTACTGGGCTCTGGCAATCCTTCCGCCTCAGTCTTTCAAGTAGCCGGAACTACAGGCACCCGCTACTATACCCGGCTAATTTTTTGATTTTTATTGTAGAGACGAGGTCTTGCCAAGTTTCTCAGGCTGGTCTTGAACCTGCGGGCTCAGGCATTCCACTTGCCTCGGCCTCCCAAAGTGTTGGGATTACACGCTGAGCCACCGAGCCCTGCCTACCTGCCCCCTTAATATGTGAAGGTCCAGAGGACACTTTCTTTACCAAACCCATGAGAAAAGCATTCATGAGGAAAGTCCTGATATACTTAAAGAACCCTGTGGTAGCTATTCTCTGGGGGTAAGAAATGATGGAGGGAACTTAGGTCATTGAGCTGGGGATAATGAGATCCCAGGTTAGCAAGGCAAAGTGATACTTAGTCACCAAAGACAGAGTAGGTGTGGTTGCCATACTGGGCTCATGAAAAATGTGGTCATGGGGAAGGAATGGAGGTGAGCCAAGGATTTAGTAATGTGGATTTCCATTCACCAAGGCCAATCTGGCTACAGCCACTGCTGAGTGCCCAACCTGTCCAGACCAACCCTGAGACCCCAGTATGGAAAGTCAGCTGGCTATCTGGTGTCAAGTTGATTACATAGAAAGGGGCACTGCTTTGTTCCCACTGGAATATCCATTTACTGTGACACAGATTTGCTTTTCTTACCTGCAATGCTTCTGCCTAAATCATCATCTGTGAACTTATAGAATGCCTTATTTACCACTGTGGCAATCAACACAGTATTGCTTCTGACCCAAGAATTCATTTCATAGCAAATGAAGTGCAGAAATGGGCTGAGGCTCTTGGAGTTCACTGGTCTTATCATGTTCCCCACCTCTTGGGAGTGGCTGGCTTGAAAGAACAGTAGAATGGCCTTTTGAAGACTTAATATGGCACCAGCTTGGTGACAAAACCTTGCAGGGCTTGGGTGGTGTCCTTCAGGGTGCTCTAAGCCAGTAACCAACATATGGAGCTGGTAGAACTCTCAAACCAGAATTTGTGGGTCAGGAAGCAGAAGGTAGAAAGGAGGACAGATCCTCTCAATATAATACAGTTTTTCCTCTAACAAAATTATTGCTTGCTAACTCTGCAACTTAGAACTCTGCTGATCTTCAGGTATTAGTTTCCAAGAAAGAACTATTTCCACAAGGGACAAGCAGCGGTTTCATTGAACTGAAAGTTAAGACTGCTCCTGGGTATTTTGGGCTTTTCTTGCCAATGAATCAACAGGCAATGAAGAGGATTATCATACTGCCTGGGGTAATTAATCCTGACTACCAATGGGAGAATGGAGAACATCTTGGTAATCTCATATCCTGTGATTAAAATCAATAGCACAACTATTATAACTAAATCAAGGAAGGACTGCTAATCAGCCACACCAGGAACAAAGATGAAGTTGTGTACTAGCTTCACATGATAAGTATCAGGCTTTTTTTTTTTTGAGTTGGAGTCTCACT